AATAAAGTGAATTATCATCAGAACATTCCAGAAAAATTAAAGAAACAATTAGAAACAAAATATTTACAAATCCAAACTCACGTATGTCACAGACACAGACGTAGAGGTTAAAGGTTAAAGGTTAAAGATGTGAACCTGCAGAAGCATCAGTGTTTCCACGGTGATAAGGACCTGGAGCTGCTCCTGACGCCTCAACTAAAAAAACGTCACTGAACGAACAATTAAACTGGAGAATTTACAACCAACAAAGCCTCAGTCCAGCAGCAGCGCGTTCATGAGGAAGTGTCCTGCTCAAAGGCACAACAGCAGCGTGGACAGAGTCATGAGCTGAGGACAAAACTCTGCCCCTCGTGTCTCTGAGTCACACACCAGACGAGACGCTCCCAGGGCTTTTATTGATTTATTGATTTATTGATTGTTTTTATCTATTTTATTTTATTTTAGCTCTGTTTTTATTTATAGATTTTATGATTTGTCGTTTCTGTTTGTCAGTTGTTGTTGTTGTTGTTGTTGTTGTTGTTGTGTCCTTAGGCAAGACACTTCGCCCACATTGCCCAGTGTGACAGTGGAGTGTGAGTGTTGGTGGTTGGAGACTGTCAGTCTGCCCCAGGGCAACTGTGGCTACAGTCGTTTCCACCACAGAGTGAAGAGAATGAAAAATGATCTGTGAAGAGTCTTTATGTTTGTGAAAAAAGCTGAAGAAATAAAAACCTACTGTACTTAATAGAGGTGAGTATTGTCGTGAACGTGACGATACGATACACGTACGATACAGAAACACGACGATACAGAAACACACATACATACACGATCACGATACAGAAACACATCATGATACGATACACGTCACGATACAGAAACACATCATGATACAGAAACACATCATGATACAATACACGATACACGATACAATGTCACGATACAGAAACACATCATGATACAGAAACACATCATGATACGATACACGATACGATACACGTCACGATACAGAAACACATCATGATACAGAAACACATCATGATACGATACACGTCACGATACAGAAACACATCATGATACAGAAACACATCATGATACGATACACGATCACGATACAGAAACACATCATGATACGATACACGTCACGATACAGAAACACATCATGATACGATACACGATACGATACACGTCACGATACAGAAACACATCATGATACGATACACGTCACGATACAGAAACACATCATGATACGATACACGATACGATACATGTCACGATACAGAAACACATCATGATACGATACACGTCACGATACGATACATGTCGCAATATGAGATACGTGACGATAAAGAAAGTTTCAGTCAGTGGGAGCAGGTGCAGTCGCTCTTGGAAAACTAAAACAGACTCCAGGCTCCAAAGAAGTAAAAAAAAATATAAAAACGATGATGAACATGACGATATGTCACGAGTCAGTAAATCCCGATTCATCCTGATACTAAAACAAAAGACGATACGATGAGACTTTTCACTAATTCTGTTGAATATTTTGGTCGAGAAACTTTCACAAGAACAAAACTGAGTGAAAAACACTTTATTTAATTTTAAATCATGAGAACAAGTAAACTGAACTGAAAACAAAACTTTTAACACTCAATTCAGATTATCACATTTTGAATCAATATAAGAATCACACAGTAAAGTATCGTGATATTTCACTGAATTGATATTTTCTTACAGTCAAACTTATTCACTTATTTCTTTTTGTTCATTGATTTGATGATTTTTCTTTTATCTGTTGATTCTGTTGGTTCATTTTGTTTAAATATAATTCTGCTGATGTTTACAGTGAAAAGTTTTACTCTGCAGAGTGAAACTGTCAAAGAAAGTTGGACTGGATCCTGGTGAAGTCCAGTTTATGGTCGTGTGTCTGCGTTGAATTTCCTCCACAGAGCGTCTACAGCACAGGTGTCAAACACACGGCCCGGGGGCCAAATCCGGCCCTCCAAGACCTTTAATCTGGCCCTCTGCTGATTTTCTACTCAAATATTTGAATGATATTTTCTATTAAAATGGTGTTAATTTTCTGTGGTGTTTATCACAGCAGCGTCTCCAGCGTCTCTGTACGTGGCCCCTCCCACCAGAGCAGCACAAATGAAGACTTGTCTCTTTCCAAACGCTCTTAAAGGACGATCGTTTTGACTGTTGACCGTGACACCCTCATCAGAAAAATGTCCAACATGAGAAAAGTGGAGCCGAGTGCAGGATTTTACAACAAAAATGGACTTATTCCTGTTTACAGACAAGTTCATGTTCAAACTTTGTGTCGAAATTGTATTTTTCTTAAAGTTTCAGGTTGTTCATAATATTATAATATTTTGTAAAAGAAAGAGTTCATCAATTAAAAAGATTTCCGTAATAGATTTGTGTTTCTCTGCAAAAATATTTGAATTTATTGCTGTTTTTGGGGTTTATATGACATGAGTTTTCTGATCCGGACACTTTGGATCAAAGTCGGTTGGACACGACCCCCGGAACAAAATGAGTTTGACTCTCCTGCTGTACATCGACCCATGTGCTCCTCAGAAATTTTGTAACTAAGTGTTGAACCAGCGCAGATGATCAGGTCTCTGATTGTTCGTCTCTACACACATTTCCACTTCTCCGTTTTCCCACTTCATCTTCTTCGTCTTTTTTTTTTTATTTCTTTGCAACTTTTGAACCAGAATCTTTTGTCCGTCGATCTCCATCAGCTCCGTCATCGTTCAGTGACCGGAGTTTCCACAGTAACAGAAAACTGAACTTTCCACCGCGAGTTTGTGCGACTCACAGATCCATAAATGAAAAACGACGGCGATGAGACGACGCAGAAATGGAACTCAGCTTTAAAAGTCTGCAGAGGAAACGTGAATGTGACCGGGTCAGAAGTGCAAGGGTCGGGGTCAGAGGGGTGAGGGTGGGGTCAGAGGGGGTCAGAAAGGGTCTTAGGGGGTCAAAGGGGTGAGGAGGGGGTGCAGATGGGGTCAGATGGGGTGAAGACAGGGTCAGAGGGGTGAGGTGGGGTCAGATGGGGTGCGCAGATGGGTGAGGGTGGGGTCAGAAGGGTGAGGATGGGGCGCAGAGGGGGTCATAGGGTTGAGGGTGGGGTGTAGATGGGGTCAGAGGAGGTCAGAGGAGCTCAGATGGGGTCAAAAGGGTGGGGATAGGGGTCAGAGGGGTGAGGGTTGGGTGAGGAGGGGGTCAGAGGAGGTGAGTGTGGGGTCAGAGGGTGGGGTCAGAAGGGTGAGGGTGGGGTGCAGAGGAGGAGAGGGTGAGGGTGGGGTCAGAGAGGGGTCAGAGGGTTGAGGAGGAGGTCAGATGTGGTCAGAGGGGGTGAGGGTGGGGTCATAGGGGTGCAG